TTGTTTCATTCACTTTTACCCCCAGCACCTAATAGAGTGTCTGGAGCCTAAATGGTGGCTTCATGAATTCACAGATGAGTGATTTGGGATGGATGGATGGATGGAGAGTTAGATGGATGATAGATAGATGGAGAGAGATGAATGAATATACTTTTCCACAATGCCATCAACTTCTTTAGATAAGGTGCCATATCTGAATCAACTCTGAACCTCCAGCACCTAGTACTGTGTCTGCACAGCATAGCCACTTGGTAAACATTTGGTGAATCTGTGAGCAAATGAATAAAAGAATGCATAGATAAGTAACTTTCAAGGCACATCCTATAACAGCTTCCTTCTTTGTTTGGAATGTCCTCCTGACCCACCCTACTCTCCTGACATCTCTTCCTTTGCACATGTGATATCGACAGCATCCTCTGTTCACAGGGGGTGACCTGACCTCAGTGGACCCCTTGGTCTTGGAGCAGTATGTGGTGGTGGCAAACTACCAGAAGCAGGAGAGCTCGGAGATCAGCCTCAGCGTGGGGCAGGTGGTGGACATCATCGAGAAGAATGAGTCAGGTAGGGACTTAGACCACCTTATTTCCCACTCTACACTATCACCAGGTCCCTTAGACTGGAAACAACCAGGAGATTTAGAAACCACAATGACCCACCAAAGCAGGCCTGGTTGCCACTCCTCCTCCTCCCCACTTAGAAACCAGAGCTCTAAGATCCCACTTGGTCACAACTTACCAACAGCTTGTTGAGTCAGAACTTAGCAATTTCTGAGGTTGACATTTCATGAACATTCATCTGGCTTTCAAGCACAGTGACACCTGGAGTTGAGCACTCCACTAGAATTTGCTTCTGTTGGCTTGCCTTTGACTATCTGCAATCATCTTCATAAAGGCTTCTCAGCTGTGGGCTCTGAGGGATGGATACCCTCCCTGTATCCTCAGCCCATCTGCCCATCACAGAGACCACTGTTCATGTACCCTGAAGAGCCTGGGACAGAATGTGGTGCTCTCAAGAAGTTAGCCTGGCTCTCAGTATGAATTCCAGCATTTAATGGTAGTCAGAGTTGCTTTACTTTCTGACCATAAGTTTTTTCAGCTTCAAAATGAAGACCATTTTGCTTCAAAGAGTTATTGTAAGAATTAAATGAAATAATGTATGTAAAGTGCCTAAACCTGTGCTTTGCAGTCTTGGTATGGTGCCATAGGGTAAGTATTCAACTTCAAGGTGGGTTTGAACAACAAGGTCGGCAGTTCAAACACACCAGCTGCTTCTCAGAAACTCTGTACAGGGTCACTATGAGTCAGAAACAACTCCATAGCATTTAACAACAAAGCCTGTGCTTTTTAACACCTCAACCATCAGTCAAAAGGTTGGTCGTTTGAATCAACCCTCAGAAGAAAGAGCTAACAAACTTTCTGAAAAATAAGCTAGTCAAAACTTTGTGGAACACAGTTCTACTCTGACGCAACTGAGGTTGGCATGATTAGGAATTGACTCAATGGCAGCTGGTTTTCTTTAAACCTGTGCTTGACACATAGTTGTTGTTAAATGACATCAAGTCCATTTCAATTCACAGCTACCGTATATAGGGTTTGTGAGGAGCAGTTTGAACCACCAAGCCTGTGTGTTTCAGTGTTTATCCTACAGTGCCACACCAGGATTCCACTGCTGATAGGAGAATTGAAAAAGAAAGCACAGTGTCACATCCCCAGATAACTCAAATTGTTTCCCGATCTCCACATAGCCATGAATGATCACGGAAGTGTTGCAAGCACTGATTTGGGCTACAGATAAGTTTGAGCAAATAGCCTAATTCATACATACAGAATAGTGAATAATGAGAGTGACTGAGTGGACTGAAAAGTCAGTTTGAACCACAAGGTCAGCAGTTAAAACCCACCAGCCGCTCCTTGGAAACCTTATACAGGGTTGCTATGAGTCAGAACCAACTTGATGGCACTTAACAACAACAACGGTGTAACTGGGTACCCACAAGGTCAGTAATTCAAACCCACCAGCTGCTATTGAAAACCTTACACAGGGTTGCTATGAGTCAATGGCACACAACAGAAACAAGTGTAAGTCCACCACTGGGTTTACTTTGACATAGTGATGGGGCTGGTGTGCCATGGAGTCGGTTCTGACTCACAGTGACCCTGCATAGGGTTTCCGAGGCTGTAAATCTTTACAGGAGCAGAAAGCCTCATCTTTCTCTCACAGAGCAGCTGGTAGTTTCAAACTGCTGACCTTAAGGTTAACAGCCCAACTCGTAACCACTTGTTGTTCTTGTTGTTGTTATGTGCCGTGCAGTTGGTTCCGACTCATAGTGACCCTATATAGGGTTTCCGAGGCTGTAAATCTTTACGGGAGCAGAAAGCCTCATCTTTCTCCCGCAGAACAGCTGGTAGTTTCAAACTGCTGACCTTGCAACTCACAGCCCAATTCATAACCACTACATTACGCTACCATAAACAAGTGTTAAATCAGTATCAGGTAAGTTATTAGGACCATGGCTTCAACGTCCGACAGCCCTGACCAGAAATCACAGTTCTGTCACAAATGGTGAACTTAGTTAGATAAGTCTGTTCACCTCTTTGAGCCTATAGGTTTTCTCACCTATGCAATGGGCATGATAATGTAAAGATTTTATGTTGTTGTTGTTGTGTGCCGTGGAGTCGGTTCCAACTCATAGCGACTCTCCACAGGGTTTCCGAGGCTGTTAATCTTTACGGGAGCAGAACGCCTCATCTTTCTCCCGTGGAGCAGCTGGTAGTTTCGAACTGCTGACCTTGCAGTTCGCAGCCCGATTCGTAACCACTACGCTACCAGAGCTCCTTAAAGATTATATAAGATGATGCAAATAAAATGATTGGTGCATCGCATACCTTAGTGCAGGCCTTTATGGCTACTACTCATCATTCAACACCATGTCTTTCCCAGCTTCAGGTGCAGGAACAAATTTCTTGTTAGCCTGTCTTTGACAGCAGTCAGCTAGCATTGCTCGTTGGTTCCTACCAGTAAAATGGTGGCCTTGTGGCCTGACCCTGGGTGTTAACTGATATAGTGGTTGGATGCGCTATTATCATCTAACTCCCAGTTGGCTCACACTTGACCTAACTAACATCATTCTGCACCCTCACTTTCCCAGGTTGGTGGTTCGTCAGCACCGCGGAGGAGCAAGGCTGGGTCCCTGCAACCTGCCTCGAAGGTCAGGATGGTGTGCAGGATGAGTTTTCCCTACAGCCTGAAGAAGGTAGGAAGGGACTTGAGCCCCTAGCATGCTGGAGAACCGTGGGCCTGCCATCACCCACACCAGGTTGCCTTCTAACCCACCCTGTATCTTCAGCCTCTACCCACAAGTCTCAGGTGCTCCCTGGCTCAGGCTCTGTAACCTGGGAATTGAAGCCTGGCCCTGGGAGTAGGTCTGAGGGCAAACCTGTCCTTCCTTAGGGGCCTTTGAGGGCTAACCCAAGTGAACCTGGCTGGAGCTGGGGCTGGTCTTCTCTCTGCACCTTTATGGGACCCCAGTAAGAATCTGTTCAGACCAATAGGTAGTAGTGTGCTGCATGGAAACTGTAGCTCACTTACTTCAGCACCTCACAGTTCCTGCCTAGAATATTCTGACTGCCAGGAGGCTGGAGCTGCTTCTGGCTTCTTTACAAGACATTTGAACTCATCTGTTTAATGATCTCTGCTTCCTCTGTTGATATAAATGCTCCTGGCTGGGTATCAGGATTAGGATTGACCCTCCTTCCCTTCACACCCTCTGCCTCCAACACACACACACACTTTTGCTTCACATCCTATTTCCCAGAGACCCCCTCCCTTCAGGTGCTTTGAGTGTGATCCCTGCCAAGCCAGAAATACCAAGGCCCAGACAATTCCCCTTTCCCCTGGAAACATTCCTAACACTTAAATGTATGTTCACTTTATCTCATGAGCAGCAGGCTTTTGGAGCCAGACAGACCTGTATTGGAATGCCACTTTCAACCCTTACTTGCTCAGTAACCTTGGGCAAGTAGCTTGCCCTTTCTAAGCCTTAACCTTCTCATCTAAAATTGGAAACTGTGATAATATCTGCAGTCCTGATGTGGTGCTATATAGGGTAAGCACTGAAGTGCTAACTGCAAGGTCAGTGATTCAAACCCATTAGCTGCTCCTAGAAAATCCTATACAAGGTCTCTATGATTCAGAACTGATTTAGCAACAACATGATATATTTACACCATAGGGTTTTTTTTTCTTTTTAATTAATGAGATCTTACATGCAAAGCATTTTAACACAAACCCCAGGGTAATAAATAGCCAGGAGTGGTTACCATCATATCTTTTGTACCTTACCTAGTCTGGTGCTATAGGATAAGCACTGGACCACAGGTCGGCGGTTCAAACTCACCTGGTGGATGGACCTGACTCCATGGCACTTAACAACAACATACCTCACCTAGGGTTGTGGTTAAGTGCTCTCAAGTTGGTTCTGACTCAAAAGTGAGGCTGAAAATCTTTGCAGGAGCAAAAAGCTTCATCTTTCTCCTGAGGAGCGACTGGTGGACTCAAACTGCCAACTTTGTGGTTCACAGTGCAGTGACTATCCTAAAGAGCCACCGAGCTCCCCTTACCTAGTGTAACTTTCAATTACTTTGAGAAATCACAACGCCACTTTAAGTATGTGTATATCTGAAGAGAATGAGGAGAAGGAGAACATTTCTGTGCTCAAAAGTTACCATAAAAACTTCATGTGATTTGGCATTCATTATTATCTGAGACTTTGTGTAATTTTCCTGCCTCTGGTAGCGTAGTGGTTACGAATCGGGCTGCGAACCGCAAGATCAGCAGTTTGAAACTACCAGCTGTTCCACGGGAGAAAGATGAGGCTTTCTGCTCTCGTAAGATTTACAGCCTTGGAACCCCAGTACAGGGTCGCTATGAGTCGGAACCGACTCCACAGCACATAACAACAACAACTAAGGGAAGGAAGCCTGGGGTGGTGCTGTAGGACTAGCTGGACTGCCAGGTCAGCTTAATCCACAAGGTCAGTGGTTCAAACCCACCAACCTATCCTCGGAAACCCAATGCAGGGTCACTATGAGTCGAAATTGACTCTATGGCACTTAACAAATACTAAGGGAAGTTTTCTCTTAGTACCTCTTTATAAGCATACCAATATTAGAATGAGGAGTCCTGGTGATACAGTGGTTACATGCACAGCTGCAAACTGAAAAGTTGGTTCAGACTGAGCCACATTCCTCAATTCAAATATTTGTTGGCATGTCCTAGGTGTGAGCGCTCACAGGGCACTAAAAAAGTCCAGACCAAAGCACTGCCATCAAGTCATTCCCATCTCATAGTGACCACTAGAACAGACTGCAACCGCCCATAGGCTTTCCAAGGCTGGACTCTGTGGAAGCAGGCTGCGACATCTTTTTCCCAAAGAGCAGCGAGTGGCTTCGTACCACTCACCTTTTGGTCTGCAGCCAAGTGCTTAATCACTGCACCACCAGGACTCCTTTCACCAGGCACTACCAGGTCTGGACTAGCACTAGGACTGCATGAAGACTCCACCCAGACGAAGGCATCCTGTGCTCTCCACAGGACGTGCCTCTGTGAGGACAGATCGTTTTACAGATGAGGACACGGGCTCACACAGCTAGAAATCAGGAAACCAGATTTTCCTAATTTTCTTCCACTTTTGTCCCCCTAACAGGAAGACATCCAGTACCTCTTTATAATCGTGCTGCTAGTATTACAGTAAGGAACCCTGGTGGTTAAGCACCCACCTACTAACTGAAAGGTTGATGGTTTGAACCCATCCAGCAACTCCACAGGAAAAAGATTTGTTCCCATAAAGATTCTTGTTGTTCTTGTTAAGTGCCATAGTCGGTTTTGACTCATAGTGACCCTATATAGGGTTTTCGAGGAGCTGCTGGTGAGCTTGAGCCGCCAACAATGCAGTTCAAACCGACCTTGCAGTCCAGTGCATTAACCCACAGCACCACACCAGGACTCCCATATAAAGGTGACTACCAGGGAACTGCAGCTCTACTCTGTTAAACGGGGTTGCTATGAGTTGGATGCCTCTCTCCTCAAGTTCAAGATTAATACTGAGGAGCTTAGCTCAGGGCTTAGAACAGACTTGGAAGGAATATACTTCTAAATGGGAGAGCACACCCTTGGAGCCCCTTTGCTTCGAGACACTGGAAGTACTTTCCTCTCACCTCTGCCTTCTGCCCTCCCCCACATGCTGCCGTCCAGTCTCTTGGAGGTACTGGTCCTTGCCCCGGCCTGTGGGCCGCCGCCGGACTCTGGGGGACTTGTATGCCATCAGCTGGCGTCCAGGTGCCTGTCTCAGTGTTGTCTTCCATGTTGAGTGTTTGAAGCTGGGTCACTGCATCTGCATGAGCCTCTACTCTGGGCCTGCCCATGCCTGCTGCATGTGGGAACCAGGGAGCTTCTCCATCTCCTGTGTGTGTGCGTGTGTGTGTAAGAGAAAGAATGGTGGCATGTGGGTTTGGGACCCTGGAGTTTCTGTGGACCTGGAGGCTCTAAGGTTTCCCAGGTTAAAAAAAAGGATGCGTGGGACCCCCAAGCTTCCATAGCGCTGAGCCCATTCACTTTCGTCAGGTGTCTTTGAGTTTCAAAAGAAAAAGACCCACATCAAGATGGCTTAACCTAAAGTGAAGTTTATTGGCTCTTAGCACTGCAAGTCTAGTGTACTGCTAGCACTGAGCATGGCTAGATCCAGGGATTTGAAAATATCATCAGGACTTGGAACTTGCTTTTGCCCTATCACCCTTTCTGCTCTGTTGGTCCTATCCTCTGTGGCCTCTTTCCCCTCCTGGTGACAGCTTGCAGGGAACCTTTCAAGGGTGCCTGCGTTCAACCAAAATCCCAAGACTGCCTTCCAGCTGAACCCACTTGGTTCTCATGACATCCCTTAACCTGTCACAGTGGCCAGGAGGGCCCAGCATTTGGCCAGGCCATGTGACATACCTGTACCCTCCCTATAAGAAGTCCACCTCACCCTCCAGAAGGCCTAAGAGTGGCAGTGCCTGCAAAGGCAGAGAAAACTGGTGCCAAGCAGGCAGGGCAGTAGGCATGTCCCGTACAGTTTGCTGGGCTTCCTGAGTGTTCCACGGAGCCCAGAAAAGATCCCCGGGTGCTGACGGACCCCCTGGCCAGTGCAGTGCAGACCAGGTGTTCAGGGCTCATGGCACTGCATCTAGACCAGCCCCAGGCAGTGCCCTCACAACCCTCCCCCCTAGATAGATCTGGGGAGTTGTATTCCCCCTCATTCCTAGCACCCGTACCTCAGGAAACTGCTAACTCTGCTGTGCACAGGATGCGAGCAACTCGAGTCCACTCAGCCCCCGCAGACAGGTCAGCAGGCTAGATCAATAAATAAATAAATGTGTCATGTGCTCCCCTCCTCCCTCAGTACCCGCTAAGCAGTCCACAGGCAGCCTGGGATGTTTTCCCAAGGAGACGAGTCAGCACCAACACACAAACCCTCAGCACCAGCCACAGCTGGGCTAACACTCATCTGGGGGCTGGGGTGGAAGCCCCACCCTGCCAAGTTGGCCTCCCCTGTGACAGGGAGCCACTTTCCCATCTGAGCTGTCAAAGCTGACAGTGTTGAGGTAAGGGAGGCGCTGCTGTGGGAGGAACACAGCTGGAGGCAGCTGTCTAGAAGATGGTCCCTGGGCTTCTGAAGAGGGGTGCCCAGGGAGTGGGGCAAAAGGCACCCCAACCACATTCATGAAAGGAGAAGCTTCTAACCTAGATCAAGGGGCTTAAAAATAATTAATGAAAAGAGAAGACCAGTGACCAGCTAGCTGATAAAAATTGGTAGTGATTTCAGCTTCTGTTATCTGCCAAGTTCAGCTCATCCTGGATTCTCCACCCATGAGGACTGGTCACAAAGAGTTTAACCCCCTCTGGCCTGAGCAAGGTGGCTCCTTCTAGACTTTTGCGACTTATTCAGTTACCAACTGTTGGCTCACTTACTGGTGACACCCCAGGTATACCCTGTGCAGTGCTGAAGATTGTGAAATAAGCAAGACTGGTCCAAATCCCTGCTTTCGTAGTGTTCATATTCACTTAGGGGAACCAGACATGAAACAGAGTCTAGAAATGCATTATGTGGTGTGTTAGAAGGGCATTCCTGGTATGGGGAGCAAATAAGCCAGAATAAGGAGGTGGTAACTTAGTGGTAGAAGTCTCACCTTCTAAGTGGAAGGACTCAGTTCCAGGCCAGTGCACCACATGCATACCACTACCCATTGTCAGTGGAGGCAATAATGCTGAATACATTTCAGCAGAGCTTGTAAATTAAGATAGACCAGGAAGAAAGGCCTGGGAATCTACTTTCAGATATCAGCTAATGAAAACCCTATGGTGAACAGTGGTCCACTTTGCATTCATTGTGCATGGGGTCATCGTGTGTCAGGGACCAACTTCACAACAACTAACAATTGGGAGATAAGGATGCCAGGGTTTAGAATATTCCATAAGCAGGAGAGGAAGGTGACCTTTAAGCTGAGATTTGAAGAAGGTGAACATGAACTTGTGAAGGAGAGGAGTTTCAAAGGAGCTAGGCCCTGCCCTTTGTCTCGTGTCCTATTGCTTGGATAATCATCCTGGGCTCATTGGGGTCTAGGGGGTACACAGTGATCTTGGGCAAAGGCATCTATGGACCACCGCCTTGGCCATCAGTGTCTAATGTCCCTTTCCTAATCCAGCATTGCTTTGTCCATACAGAGGAGAAGTACACAGTCATCTACCCATACACAGCCCGTGACCAAGATGAAATGAACCTGGAGAGAGGGGCCATGGTGGAAGTCATACAGAAAAACCTGGAAGGCTGGTGGAAGATCAGGTACCGCCTCTGCCTCCTGCTGCCAGCTGGGTGGGCCGTGGTCACGAGGGCTCTGGCTTCACTGAGGTCTCTAAGTGATTGCAGATGCGCGAGGCTTTGGCTGGAGCTGTAAAAAGACACTTCTCTGTGCTATTTGGCTCCCCTTCCTACCTCTATAATCTATAATAAGCAAAGGCTTCTCCAAACACTGAGCCACAGGTAGCAGCAACCCCGTTAAGTAAGGCTGGTCCTCACCTCCAGGTGTTTGTCATGACAGACGACAGGGATACTATAGCTGCCATGTGAGTTACCTCTGCTCCTACCCCACTCAGAGACAAATGCGACACTTAAAACCTGCATGAACTGTAACGTAACTCCACCTTCTTCTTGTCAAGTGTCGTCAAGTCGGTTCTGACTCATAGCGACTCTGTACTGGGTTTCCAAGGAGTGGCAAGTGGGTTTGAACTGCCGACCTTACAGTTAGCAGTCTAGTACTGACCCTACAGTGCCATACCAGGACTCCTCCTAGGGCTGGTAATATGCCTTTATTTCTCATGGACCAATAGTAAAAGCAGGAAATCTTCTTTTCGAACATTTTTTTAACAGCTCTTTCTTTCACTTATGTGATGAGATCAGAACTTCATAGGCAGGTGAGGTGACCAACTCATCCAGGCTTACCTGGAGGTTTCCTGATTTAGCAATGAAAGTTCCAGAAATCCTCTCCTCATCCTAATAGGCAGGCTGCAATGGCAAGGAATAAGGGCAAGGGATGAAGCCTGAAATCTGTCCCCACAGCCTGGTGTATGTGCCATTTTGTGTGGCTTTAAGGCCATTCTCCTGGGGCTGAGCATATGATAATTCCGTTTATTTATTCTTTCATTCATTCAACAAACATACAAGAAGAAATAGTTTGGGGCCAAGCCCTATTCTGGGAACTGGTGAGCAAGACATAGTAGTTCACACCAAAGGGGTCAGGAAGGTTTCCTGAGGAAAGGGATTTCAGAACTGAGAATTAAACGAGTAATGGTAATTATAACTGACATATATTGAACATGTATGTTATCTTGCTGCATAACAGATTTCCCCCAGATTTAGTGTCTTAAAACAACAGTCATTTATAGTTGCACAGTTTTCATTGGTCTGGAATCCAGGAGTGACATGATTAGTCTCAAGGTCTCACATGAGGTTACACTTTGGATGTTGGTAGGGGATACAGTCATCTGAAGGCTTGACTGGGGTTGAAAGATTCAGTCCCAAGATGGTGCACTCACATGGCAATTGGCAGGAGACCTTGCCACATGGACCTTGCCACATGGGCTTCTCCATAGGATGCTAGAGCGTCCTCACAGCATGGCAGCTGGCTTTCCGCAGAGCATGTGATCCAACAGAGTGAGTCTTTTTGACCAGAATCCTCCACCATCACTTCTGCTTTATTCTGCCTGTCTGACTCACACTCCAGGGAAGGGAGTCAGGCTCCACCTCTTGAACTGAGGAACATCAGAGACATTTAAAAACCATCACAAAATACTTGTTGTTGTTGTTATGTGCCATGGAATCAGTTCCGATTCATAGGGACCCTACATAGAGTTTCTGAAGCTGTAAATCTCTACGGGAGCAGAAAGCCTCATCTTTCTCCTGCGGAACAGCTGGTAGCTTCGAACTGCTGACCGTGAGATTAGCAGCCCAATTCATAACCACTATGCTACCAGAGCTCCTTCACAAGATACTAGTGGGCTTCAAAAAATTCATGGAAAAACTCAATTATCTTCTTATTCCATTTTCTGTGAACTGTTTAAAGCCTCCTGGAAAGCGCTTTATATTAATTTTTCATAGAAACACAGTGCTATTTAATTCTTAAAAGTGAATCTCAAAAAAAAAAAACATGTAGCTCAACAAGAGAGTTGGTCCTGCCCTATATAATCTCTACTCAGTTGAGTCCATTCAAATTTCTCCAAAGTTGTAGGCATCTGTTTTGTGGTTCCAAACCAGTGAAGTGTTATTAAAGTTTTACCAACCAACTCTCCAGGGAAAACCATGCTCTGCGTTCTGGCGATTTCCAATTTCCATGTGTCAGTATGCCACCACAGCTGATTTTAGGCTACTAGTGTGTTGTCACTGAATATGGAGTTGAGAACAGATGCATGGGAGCTGACTCCAACTCACCTCTGCTCCAGACTGACCCCTCTACTGACTGCTATCAAACTGAGTTCTGCCACACAGAGACTCAGTCACCATCACACTCACTGGATTCCCCTTGGAGGTGGGGAGCAGCAAGGTGTTCTGCCAGGGTCTTGATCAAACAGATTGCAGTAGTACCCACCTGACATAGTTCGGTGCATTAGAATAGAGCTGATAAAGTGCCCGGTGTCAGGAGTCCCTGGGTTGGGCAAATGGTTAACACGCTTGGCTACTAACTAACGGGTTGGTGATTCAAGTCCACTCAAAGGTACCTTGGAAGAAAGGCCTAACAAATTCTGAAAGATTCCAGTCATTGGAAACTCATAAAGCACAGTTCTCCTGCCACGCATGGGGGCACCATGAGTTGGAGTCAACTCAACAACAGCTGGAACTGAAAGGACCAATAATCACTGTCACTGTTGTCCTGATCTTTAGCAAAACTTTCTAGCTGCTTACCCAGCCCAGACCCATTGGCAGTTGGGCCACTTGCTCCTTCAAGACTTCCTTCATCTCATTGACACCAAGACCCTTGGCTGACTTAAAAGAAGCCACGACAGTCCTAAACATTTACAGCCTCGGAAACCCTGTACAGGGTCGCTATGAATCGGAACCGACTCCACAGCACATAACAACAACAACCACAGTCCTGTCTGCGGGAGACAGACTGTCACAAGAAATGCTGTTTCACATCATGCATTCTGGGATTGTGGTGTGTACAGGAGTCAGTGGGCCACTGTGGAAGACAGGGCTCCTACTCTAAGGCCAGGAAGGCTTTCGAGAGGAGATGGCATTAAGCAGAGCCAGAAAAGAGAAGCAGGACTTGCCAGGAAGGAGATGAGGAACGAATATCCAGGCAGAGGGGTGACTAACAGCAGAGACGTGGATGTAGCGGGTGAGGACCGTGGTGTGTTTAGGAACTCACAAGCCACACTGGGTGACTGTGTGAGATGAAGGTGAGAGACTCACAGAGGCCAAGTTGGAAAGGCCTCGAATGCTGAGCTGAGGACTCAGGCTTCATTGGGAGGTAGTGGTCCGTGAGCCAGCCTTTGGCCCTGGGCAGTTGTGACCCATCATGTCTGCCCTCTGCCACCTGCACTGTTATTTGCAGGAGTAGTATGGCTTCTCCTCATGGGCCTGGAAGATCAATCTGACCAGCACCCTTTCCCCCTCCTCCCAGGTACCAGGGCAAGGAGGGCTGGGCCCCAGCCTCCTACCTAAAGAAAAGCAGTGGGGAGCTTTTACCCCCGAAGCTGGGCCCCAGCTTCCCAGCACACTCGGGTGCCCTTGACCTGGACGGCCTTTCCCGGCAGCAGAATGCAGTGGGCAGGGAGAAGGAGATGCTCAACAACCAGAGGGATGGCCGCTTCGAGGGCCGCCCAGCGCCCGATGGGGATGTGAAGCAGAGTGAGTGATGCCTACCCCAGCTCCTGGTGACTGAGGACCTCCCATGTGCTTAAGTTCTGTGTTGTCCCTTATGCTCACAGCAGCCCTGCTGCCTGCCCATCCTGCAGATAAGAAAACAGAGGCTCAGGAACCCCAAGGTAACTTGGTTATTCAACCAGCAGATAACAGAACCTGAGTCAAGAAGCATCACTGCCCTCCCAAAGCCTTGTTCTTTCCATCTCCTCATAATCTTGACAGCTCCTGTTTTCAGTCACCTGCTATCTACAGGAAATCTGTGTTTAGTGTCATGGATCCCTTACAACAACCTTGTGAGGCACATAGTACCTGGGTTTTACAGATTAGGAAAACAGAGATGGAACAGACTTTGTCCAAGACCACCCAGCTAGTAGCCAGGAGAGCTAGGATTTGAACATAGACTCCAGAGTCTCTTCTCCCTCCACTCCACCACATTGCCTCATTTCTGAGCTAGAGGAAGAAGTTGACCCTGTGTTGCATTTACTCTAAGAATATTACATTATCCATCTTGCTCTCAATGCATTCCCATACACCTAGAATAGGGTTCATTTGTGTCGGCATCATACCCAGGACTCCAACTTTGAACCAGTGCCATGATCCCATTCTGATCCCGTAGATGAGGGACTCAGTGTGTTGGGAAAGGGCTTCCAGCTCCCTGTTGGAACAGCATCACTTGCCTCTGAATGGGCATCTCTCAGATGTTTTTCCAAATGGCTCCTTCAGTCAGTGAGGGCCTTGAACTCCAAGACTCACACTCTCTATTTGACTTCCCTAAGAAAATACTGACTGTTTTCCGATGTGCCATGGCAGAGATTCTGTACAACTCTGAGTTTCCATGATTCTAATTGTCATGGCCAAAAGCCTGGATGGATACCCATTCAGACCTGAGAAGCAAATGAAACTCAGAAACCTTGTGTCTTTGTTATGATAAAGAAGGTTTTAACAAAGGCCTTCATACGCACACCCAACAACAGTGGCTTCCATGATATGGGTGCTTATTTGGGTATATGCCCAGGACTTAAGTGGCAACTCCAGTGCAATCAGGAGTCTTGTTACCCAGTATCTCTGTCTTAGGCTAATGTTTCCTAAGTGCGCTGTCCTCATCCACCTGGTTCGGCTGATGAAAAGGAGGGTGGGAGGGAAAAGCAGAGTGGAAGTAGCCCATTGGCCATACCTAACTGCAAGGGAGTCTGGAAAAAATGTTATCTTTACTATAGGTACCTAAGTGTCTTATACAACTCTGTTGCTATATATTATAGTAGAAGACAAGGGAAATGAGTATTTGAGGGATTAGCAGTCTCCTCCACACCCCAAATCCCAGACTTCCTTCCCTCTGTGTGGACACATACACTGAAGCTGCTCTGCTGACATACAGAGTGAATTCATTGTCCTGCCTTCAACCCAGAGCTAGAGCGTTTTCACTCTCCAGAGTGTATTTGGGTCTGTTTGTTTAGGTCTTGTTTAATTTGGGTTTGCTGTAGAGGCAATATCAAGGGTAGTAATATTTACTGTGTGCCTGCCAAGGACTTTACAGGTGTTTATTTTAATCTCCGCTACCCCTGAGAGGCATGTCCTGTCCTCATTCAACAGGTGAGGGCCTTGTAACTTAAAAGGTCAACTTGTCCAAAGTTGTCCAAAGTTGGAAGCCATTGAGCTTCAGAGCTGGGACCTGAACCCTATCTGTGTTGTTCGTAAACCTGCACTTTTTACCATTTCTGGAAAGTTTTCCGTCTCTCCAGGAGTCAGTACTATCCCTTTCCTATTCCTTCCTGTCTAGAAAATACTGAGAGTTAGAAGAAGCCACATTGGTAGAGGGTCCCAAGCTATCCCATAAGAAGTCCCTTTCTGATTGGGCCCTTCTCCCAGGAAGGTGGGCAGCAGCACATTAAGCCCTGTGTTTTACACCTCATTTTCTGTAGACAAGAATGGATCTTTCCTTGTGTTCACCTTAGGAATTGTATCTTTAGGGCTCTGCATGTGAATGAAATGTGGCCTTGCTTCTTCATAGGATCACCAAAGATGAGGCAGAGACCCCCTCCTCGCCGGGACATGACCATAGTAAGTGGACCCTAGCCACCATTGATTGATCTGAGGGCTAGGATTTCCAGTGGCCCCTCAACTTTCGTCACCTTTCTGTCCTTATGAAGCATTTGCCCCATTGATGGTAGGAATTCTGAGCTCTGTGAAGGTTAAGCCATTTGCCTATGGTTCCTCAGTGTATTTGCAACCATCAGACCACTGAACATGCTCTCTTCTTCCTGTGTCCAATTCTCTTTGTCCTCGTCAGCCTCCACCAATGAGACTGTTTGAAGCCCAAGCTTGGGTGATACACTAATATAGTCTGTGGTGCCATTTTGGTATTCTACTTTCTTACTCGGTTTTTGTTTTTATCTTTTTCATTCTTGACGTAGCTTTTTTACCAGTATTTTGAGAAATGGTCCTTTTTTTTTTTTATGCTTACCATTTACTGAGCACCTATTGGAAACCATGCAGTGTGCTAGATGCTATATGACATTTATTTAATACTTGCAGTGACGTCACCAGGTAGATACTATAATTACCCACATTCTATAGGAGATGAAACTCAGGCTCCTGAAGGGAAGGTGACTTGCCAAAGGGTATTTCTCGGTTGGTATTTCCAACCCAGATGGATCTGACCTGCAAACTGTGTTCTTTCAACAACTCCCACTGCCTCTTCAGTTCAAACAATATTGTCTTGCCCCAAATTTACCTGATTGTAGCCAAATGTCCTAGGTTTCTTTTCATTGCTCTAAAGCTGAAGGACCACAGACCACATGAAGCGACTCATTGAGGACTTGACAGTCTGAATGGCCCTTTGTTTTGTCCCTTATAATCCAAATAGGTCCACCAGCCTCACCTTGAGGGCTACCTTGCACCTCACCATTGCCCCTTCACTCCTCCCCGCCCCCCAGTGTTATAGTATAATAGATAGTACTGTGTTTAATCCTACCAGCCTCGAGGCCTAAACCTTCCGAAACCACCCATCCCACCCCAAGTGGAGGAAGAATATTACACCATTGCTGAATTCCAGACAACCATCCCTGATGGCATCAGCTTCCAGGCAGGCCTAAAGGTCGAGGTGAGTGGACCCTAGTGTCCTATACTTGTGATTCTTGATTCTGGGTGCTACCTCCTACTTCCCTCTTCACTCCCCTACCTCCCTCTTCTTGCCTCCTACTTTATATAGATATAGGTAACTTTTTATTGTGAATTCAGTGAAGGTTTACCAAGAAGATCATGTTTCACATTCAGTAACTTATACACTGTGTTTCGTCTCAATGATTTCAATCCCCTCCAGGCAACAACAGTTATCCCGCTTCCTCCCTGTGATTCCCATTTGCATTCCACCCTCCTCACCAACTTCTCTGAACTTTGTCCTTAGGTAAATGGTGCCCTTTTGATCTTGAATGGTTGACCATTTCATGATGAACATACCTTGCTAGTGTTGTTGTCCCCCTGTATACCTATCTACTGCTTGACTGAAAATGGGGTCATATGGGTGAATTCCTTTCTAGACCTGAAGCGTGTTTCTTCCAGTTTCTTTCTGACTGGTAGGCCCTATCTTTATTTTTATGATTTTAAGTTTTGATCTACATTTTCTCCCTCTCTAATGGGATCCCGTACCTGGACCAAGAAGCAGTTGTTCGAACAGAGCATGGGATCACTGAATGTTTTAA